CAAGATCACACAACTATATTTAGGCTTACATATTGAGAGAATTTGTCTAAGTGTTTAGATGAACAGTTTCAAAAGTAAAAAATGGACGAATATAGCGGGACGGAGGTAGTATCATTTTTTTCTTACAGACATTATAGACGCAAAATTCTGTTCGATGTCTAGGTGAAAGATTTTGTCAAAGATTAAACTATTTGTACACCAAAATTTGTCTCATTTTATGCTATAAAGGCATACACTAACATTTTATGCTAGTATGATGGTTTACATTGATAAAAATATAAATGTAAATCGTTAAAATGTTGGTATATTTTTGTGAGTTACAACTTGAACACTATGTTTGGTTCAAGGAATTTGAAAGAGAAAAGAAAAGGAAATGAAGTAGAAAATATTTTTCGTGTTTGGTTAGAGAGAAAAAAAAAGGAAAAGTAGAAGAAAAAGAAAATGAGAAGGCAAAATAAATTAAGTGGATGGAAAACCAAATTCCTCCCATTTTGGTGAGTAAAATGAGAGAAAATCATTTTCTTTTCTTTTCCTTCCTAATTCCTTGAACCAAATATAGTGGAAATATATTTTTTGGTGTACTCCTAGCATGATTGTTGTATCAAATGCGGTATAAAAAATGTTGAAGAAAAAAAAAAGATTAATGGAGACAAATTAGATAAATAAGGAATTACCAAGTGGAGAGCAAGCAATTGAGCAGAGTCATGACATATGGTATCCCTGAGAACTCCTCTGTTGATCTCTTCTGTATTACCCTCTTGAATGTTATCCTAATTATTATTTACTCATCAAGAACAATAAATAATCATCATAAAATTAAATCAAATCAAGAAAATAATAAACCAGCCTCGAAATTAAATATATCCAGATATATAAAATAAGAGAAAATATAATCTCTCACATTGGTGCCAAGAAAAGAAACAAGCCAGTTATGTTCCCTGTTATTGATCGAAGAAATAAAGATCATTATTTAATTTTATTTTATATATAAAAATAAAAAAATTAAAATAACAAGGCAGAGGGATGATGTTATTGATGTATATGAAATGAAAGAATGGAGCGTACCAAAAACACCAAAAGTAGTGTGAAGAGCTTTGACAATTGCCATGGCGGAAATATTATTAATGGGATCAGATAATTTAGATATTATAACTCTGCGATTTTGATGTTATTTATATCATGAACCTAACACCTATATATATATATATATATACACACACACACATACATACACACACTAGCTAGTACAAGTTGGTCAACACCTTAAATACGTATACACAGATCGAGAGAGACAGAGGTGAGGGACACATACTATTCCCTCCGTCCCACTATATTCGTCCACTTTTGACTTTTGGAACTGTTCATCTAAGCACTTTAATTCATCTAATTCTCTCAATGTGTAAGCCTAAATATAGTCATGTGTGATCTTGTTTGATTTGTCTTAACATATAGATTATTAATATATAATTTCTATAATTTTTTAATATACAAATTACAAGATAAAATGGATTAAAGAAGTGTATTACATGGTGTGTAAAAATTAAAGTTGACAAATACTCTGTGACGGAGGTAGTATATGCTTATATATATATATATGTTGCATTTTTTTTATTTTTTTATTTTTGGTACATATTATTGGTTGCATTTTGTATAATCAATTAAAAAAATATAAACACACACACTCTCTTTGTCTTTGTTCCCTATTTTATCGTTACTCCGTAAGTTTTTCTATAAATATTGTTGTTTTTTTTATTTTTTAATAATCATTTTCTGTAAGTATTACTCTTTACATTTATCAAAACGGTTTCTAGTTTAACTAATGAGAAAAAAATAAAGAGGATATATTTATTATTGAATTTCTAATTTTGATTGATGTGATGAGTAAAAGAAAGATGTAATTGGTAGATCATTTGTGAAAAATAAGATTTTTGTCAAACCTAGACAACACAACTTGTGACCTTTGCCTTAAGCAATAATCCAACTTATCTAGCTATCCAAAATCTTGCATCGTTGTTACAACTTACAACTTCATAAGACACGCCGCCTGATCTCATCTATGATTCATTGTCGAAAAGGCTTTCGACACAAGACATTCACTATAGATCTCCAATCTACTAGGTCACACCTAAGAACACTGCATCGTGACGACAAATATATGATTTACATATCGTGAAATAGCATGATAGACTATACAAATTACACGATCACTTTCCGATTAAGTTTGTTTCAATGCTGTATCGATCAATAGACTTTAATCGGATAAGACGTCAAAATATCAAATTAGTAGGACGAATATGTTACACTCCGTATATGATCATCCAAAATAAACGAAGTATTTTCATAAAACAACAATCGTCCCAAATAAACTTTTTCCAAGCCGACCTGGAAACCAAGCAAGGGCTTTGCCCCTTGCATCCCACAAGGCCCGCCACTCTTTTGAACCCGCTACCCGGGCCTATACCCACGCTAACGAATTAGTGTTAGACTTTTTTTAAATAATTTTTCAGTGAAACAGATCATTATTTTTAAAATGTTAAATCTAAAAATTTTCATTAGATAGTACTTTTAAATTTCTAAAATTAAAAGTTGAAATTGTTATGAAACCAACTCGAAATTAAAAAAAGAGTTGTTAAGGGTGCAACAAAAATGGTGCAAGGGGTAAGGGGGTGTGTTGGCAGCATACACATAATTCAGCGGAAACATGAGGTTGCTCTGCTTTGCTTTGCTGTACTATTCATTACTTCCTCCCTCCTCCTCCAATAATGTTTCATGGGAAAAAGACTAAAATAAAAAAATATTAAAAATATATTAAAATAAGAATTTTATATTTTTATTCTCTAAATAAGAATTAAAATATATTTATATTACTAATTATGACCATTGTTGAAATATTAAAATAATAATATTGCTCATTGAATTATGAAGTACATGATAGAGTATATATAAGAGAGACTCCTAACACAACTAGGAATACAGAATGAAAACTAACAAACATACAACATCTACCACAAATAGGATTAGAAAGCTGACTAATAATGAAACACTACCATAACCAATACTACAAGAAGTACTATTAGTATTATTGTCTAACATCCCCCCTCAAGCTGAACTCTGGCTAAAGCAAGAGGACGCTTGGACACTAGCTGGAAAATAGAAACTTTGAGAAGAGAGAAGTCTGATATGCGCCGGTGGCTGCTCACGTCGTTGAAGAAGAGAGAAGTCTGACGTGCGCCGCTGGCTGCTGACGTCGTTGGAGAAGAGAGAAGTATGACGTGCACTGGTAGCTGCTAACGTCGTTGGAGAAGAGAGAAATTGACATGCGCTGGTAGCTGCTGACGTCGATGAAGAAGAGAGAAGGCTATTGGAGGTGTTTGTTTGATTGAAGATCCTTGACATTCTTTGTCGTTTTCTTGGATCCGGGCAATGCCCTATTTCCTTCTTGAATGAGTGAGTTGTAGAGGTATTTGTTTTCCTCTTTCACTACTTCCCTCATTGGCTTTGCTTTTGTGCTGATTTACTTTGGATTTTTAATGGTTCAATAAAAGAGAAAGAGAAAGGAGGTTAAGAATTGGTGATGGAGAAAAAAAAATTGGGTATGAGATTTTGATATGGTGAGTTGGAGAGAAACAACAATCATTTTTTTTTTCCTTTTTTTTGAGAAGATATGATGAGTTGAGAAAGTTTGTGAGGAGTTGGATTTTTTTTTGAAGAACCATGGAGATGACAAGAGAGAAGTTCTTTCTTTGATAGTTTTTTTTTGTGTGATTTCAACAAGGTTTTTTTCTTTTTTTTTCATTTGAATGGAGAAGTTGATTTGAGGATAAAGAAGGAAAAGAAAATAGAGGTGAATAGGATGGAGCCGCCGTCGCCGGAATAACCGGCGGCGGTGGGAGCAAAGAATTCTTTTAGGTCACCAAGAGCGGTGGCTCCGATACCATGTTGAAATATTAGAATAATAATATTGCTCATTGAATTATGAAGTACATGATAGAGTATATATAAGAGATAGAGACTCCTAACACAACTAGGAATAGAGAATGAAAACTAACTAACATACAACATCTACCACAAATAGGATTAGAAAGCTGACTAATAATGAAACACTACCATGACCAATACTACAAGAAGTACTATTAGTATTATTGTCTAACAACCATGTATATTATGTAAAATGCGCATGTACAGTGTCACATTACCACAATGCAAACTCATATTTAGAATATAAAAACATGGAACCTCTATTTTGATATTTTTTTCTATGTTGTAGTGTTATTTAGAGTGATTTATTATATTTCATATGTATTTTTTGTTCGTTTAAAAAAAGAATGTTTCATTTTACATTTCTAAAATTTATTTTTCTTACTACTCCGTATTATTTTCCTCTTCAACATATAATTTTATTTTTTTTAATTTTCGTATTCAATCAATTGTGGTAGTGTGAGAGAGGAGTTCTAATTTATTAGATTTGGGATTCATTTTCGGTGCCTATAACTTTCTTTTCTTTTTTTCTTTCTTTCTATCTTATGGAATCGGTGCCTCTATTTAATTAGTAGGCGTGGAGCCGGGGGGTGGGGTGGGTGGTGGCATGAATCAATCAAGAAGTCCTTATCTTTTTATGGATATTTTTAGACAGATGCCTTCGGCGCGTTTCTACGCTGGAAGGATTTTCAGACCTTTTAATGCTCTTTTATTGTTTTAGATAATACTCTCTTACCATGCATACATATATTATTTTAATTTTAGTCTTAGATAAACTAAAAAGACTACCTCTTATATTATATTAAATGTTAATTAATTGATATTTTAATAATTTCCCATTACTATAGATTTTTTTTATTCTAATTTGTCGTTCGTCGTTCAACCTGTTATATTACACCATCATTGTTTCTGTTTATCAGCACCAGCTGCGAGACGATGACTGTCACAATTATTGTCCATCAATACTGTTTCTTTTCATGACATTGTTGTCCAGTTATTGCATTCTTCTTGGTGTTACCGTTACTGTCCGACAGTATTCATTACGATGTTATTACTGTTTACTGCAAAACGATGATTTCGCCCACCGTTAAAGTTTGTATTCATTATTGGCCCTTTTATTCATTTTCCTTATTGATCGTTACTCTCCGTCTTCGTTGCTAATAATCGTTACCATTCACTTCTATTGATGGTCATTACTTTCCATCGGTAGTACTTATCCCCTCAACTAGTCACAACCACGTTGACCTGATCTAATTCGTGACAGTGACGACAGATCTAACGTATCCTAGCGGCAACTATCACAAACCACGATAGCAAGGTATAGTGACGTATCTATCCAATCTGTACTTCTCTCCCCTAAAATCAACAATTAAAATGTAACGAAAACACATCAAAAGACAACAACTATCGGGATTCGACTTCTAGAGAGACAATCGGGCTAATTACGAGTTGATGGGTATGGATATTCATTCAAGCAATTGGACTAAAGATTCATAGACCAATAAGGCTTGAGTTCCCGAGGGAAAATAAAAACAAGGTGGCCATTGGCCAAGTGGGTCATTGTCCGCTCTAGTGGGTCAAAGATTCAAACTGCGTTAAAATATAAAATTCAATCAATTAGTAACTTCAAGATAATATTTTATTTTTAACCAACATTTTTCAGGGTTTCAAATTTTCAATGTAAGATTCTAACAATTATTCAATGGCGAGGAGTTGTTTGAAGTATACAATTAGAATATAAACACTTCATGAGTTGAGAATATTATGGTTCTCCATTTTATAAGCGTACTCATTAGGAAGTGCATTAACATATTGAATTGTATTATTCATTCATTTCTTTATACAGGAAAGAAGTTAATCTGACACTTAAAATAAATAATACTCCCTCCGTCCCGGAGTATTCGTCCAATTTTGACTTTTGGAACTGTTCATCTAAGCACTTTCATTCCATAGAATTTCATAAAAATGAGTTGGAATTGAAGAATTCAATTGCATCTAAATCAATTCCATAGAATTTCAACTCTCAATTCACTTCTAATTCCATCAATCTGGTGTATCAAACAGCCTCGAAGAGTTTCCAAACATTTTGTGATAAAAATCTCTTTTTTTAGTTTATGGAAAACATTATAAATCTACCCCTGAGTATTATTTACTCTTTTCGCCGAAATTTAGTTCAAAAAAAAAAACCACACGAGGTATATCTTCATCATGTTAATCAGACTCAAAATTTTGGTCAATAAGAACATGATTAGCACTAATAAATAATGAATGAACTTCAAAAACTGTACAAAAGCCTATGATCAAAAGAAGGTTAGAGGTTAGAGAACCTATGCAGCATTGTAGCAGACAGATGATCATCAGCCATTCCAAATTCCACTCTCTTGTTAGCTCACTAATGAAAAAAAAATTAAAAAACTCCATGCCTTTTGCAAGGATCATCATATATAGCCTAATAATACTGGAATTTGGAATGATATAAATATAAAATATCATTGCTTAAGAGTTTGTAACCTGACTTGCTCGTGCGCTTTCACGGCTTCTGATGTGAAACTCTCCAATGCTTTGAAAATCGGAAGCAACCCTCCTTGTATGCTACTTGAGGCCGCGTCATGAACCAGCTTTAAGCTGTTCTTGTGTTTTGCCTTCTCTTCTGCCAACTTCTTTCGGACCGTTTCCAAGTCGTGGTCGGCTTCTGGGTTATCCAGTTGTGAGCCCGCGCTTTCAGATTGAACCACGGAGTCCTCATTCTTATCTTCACGGTCGTGTCCCATTCGTTCATTCTCCATCTTGCGCATTTTGAGTATCTTCTTGTAATCTTTCAAGAGGTACTCTGATCTAAGCCTCTGGTGCTGTTCATCATCGTGTCTTTCGCACAGTTTGCGCAAGCTTGAAGCGAAGCTGTTCATGGCCATGGCCACCCTTGTTTCAGATATGGTTTCCATTGCCAGATTCCAGTCGTTGCAGATTATGAAAATCGGAGGTGCCTGAAGACGCCCTGGGGAGAAGGGGATGGGCCCATCAGGGGTTTCTTCTGGCTCATAGAGAAGGCACCGGAGAAGCCACCCGTTTAAGGACTCAACATAGGACTTCTGGGTGCAGATCCAATTGCTAAAGCGGTTGCACCATGCAAGAAGCTGCAACTCGAGTTCAAGAGTGGCTTCCAATGCAGAATCTGAATCGAACCCAGTCTTTGCCTTCAGAGCACGAACTTTGCTCTCCTTAATTGCTTGAAATTGCTTTTGGTGGCAACTAAGCATGGATTTCCACATCCTTGTCAAGCTAGCAGATGAAATAGTTTAGGCAGAAGATAATGTATTGACACTGAGTATTCTTATGCCAAAATGATAACAATAATTAATTCTTAACCGAAAAAGGATTAAGTGGACAACATGAGAAAAGTGACTTGTTTAAATATACAAAGAAAAGAATGAGATTAGAAATGAAGAACAAGTAAATGAAATTATAGGAAGAGAAATCAAGAAGAATAACATGAATATAGTTGTGTTGAAAGTAGCCGGTAGAATAACATGAACATGGTAGTGTTAACTAGGGGAAGCTAGTGCAACCGTGGCATGCCAACTAGCATCAGGAAAAGAGCTAAGCAGAGAAATGAAATATAAATAACCAATCCCAAGAAAGTTGAGATTGATGTTTTTGTTATAATCATGGTTGTTAAGTCGACAAGTCGAGTCGAGTCGGTGACAGGGAGACTAGTGGACTAGGCGACTAGTCGTAGACTAGGCGACAAATCACAATTAGTATTAAAATTTTTAACATTATATATATCTATATTAACCCAACATGAATATATATATGTATATGTCAAAACACCATAACCAAAGCAAACTTATGTTTAAAGATAGCACATAAAGTCACTTAACAAAGAGTACATAACAAACAAATATCCTTTAATCTTTAAAAATAACACACCAAGAAAGATAATTAACCAAATAAGAAGTCAAAGGACATATTAAAATAGTTAATTCCATGTTTTGAGTTATCAAAAAACTGAAATAAAAAAAAATTGAAATATTAAACTGAAAAAAAACTGAAATACTAAAATACTAGAATAAGAAAAAAATTAAAATATTAACTGAAATCAGAAAAAAAAACTGAAATATTAAAAAAATAGAAGAAAACTGAAAATTTTAAAGTATATTATACTTTATAGTTTAATGAACCAAATCAATGAAAATTAAATCAAATAGAGTATACTTTAATGATAACAAAGTAAAAGAAATCTTACCCATGGAGGAGAGTCGCTGCTGGAGGCTGATGGAGGAGAATCGATGGAGGAGAGTCGCTGGCTGGAAGTCACCCTGGAACGGGAAGCCTAGAGTCGCGAACCTCCAGACTGCCGATTGGGTTGGGTCGGGTCGGGTTGGGTCGGGTCGGGTCAATTGAATTAGGTCAAAATCGGCCAATTGTTTTCACCGATTAGGCGTCGCCTAATCGCGGCTAAGCGTCGCTAAGCGCGCTTAATCGCCTAGTCGGCCATAGGCGCTAGTCGTACAGCAAATCTCCATGGCAAAACCGCCCGGACGACTAGTCGGCGACTAGTCGTGGCCTAGGCGACGACTTGACAACCATGGTTATAATGGGTTTAACAAATCAAACAAATTGCCTATAAGGAATTTTATATATAAAAAAAAGCAGAAACATGAAAGACAATGTGCTAAAGTTGATCAAGTTTCAAATGTGGAAATGAGGTAAAGAAATACTACAAACCGAGACAAATGGCAAAATCTTGTGTACTCACCCATTAACTAATTCTGCAACTTGGGGTAGTAACTCTTCATCCCTTAAGTTGTGTATCCTACTTGAAATGAAATCAATTGCTTTGATAGAAACCTTGAGTTTTGTACGAGATTTTCTAATTGAAGCCTGAACAGCATCAATCTTACTCGACTCTATTCCTCGCAGGTCCAAAGCTTTTAGCTTCCGGCACTGTCGCTCATAAACCAGTCGCAATTGTTCTTCTGTCTGCATCAAATCAAACACCTCAATAAGTATAAGAGCAATTTGACCACCTCGATGTAGAGATAGAGATGAAGTGAAAAGAAGAGGTACAGAAATTTAAGGCAGAACCCAGTTCGGGCTTTGGGGTTTTGCATATAGCTTTTATCTTTTAAAAAAGGGATTTCAACAATTAAGTACTAACAAGAATACAACATAATTAGGATACTTGAAAGAACATTCAAAATTTCAAACTTTTTGGGAGCTTGTTGATATTACTTGATACTCTCTTCGCCCCAAAATAAAGTTTTCATTCCCTATTCACAAGGTCAAACTTTTTTACTTTGCCTATTTAAGTTACTCATTTGATACGATAATATACTAATATAGTCATGTCACCTCTTGTTTGTAGAGCTTTTGATGTAGCCTTAAGATATATTAACATTATATTTTAATTCTACACCAAATCTCAAATAAATTGGATAGAAAATAACTTGTGTCAAATAAATTGAATTGAAAATAACTTGAGTCAAACATCGTAAACCGACCCAAGAACTTCACTTTGGTACAGAGGGAATATTACAGAAACCAAAAACCGTTATCTTCTTTGGTGTATATATACTCCGTATAATACACTAAGAGCCTGTGTAGGCGCTAACACAAAATTAAAGTAGAAACCGTTCTGCAGCTTTATTTACCTTGACTTCTTTGTAAAGTTTTTTCTCCCACTCATATAATTGGGCCAATGTAGATGAGAGGTAGCATTGCTTCAAATTAGCCTCTGGGACATCATCCCCAATATAGGATTTTGCTAATTTAGAATTTATTTGCACTGCAGGCGTTGATGTTGCGTGCAGAGTTGAAAAGAAAGGAGCCATCGAGTGCAAAATCCTGGACATGAGCACTGCATAAAGACACGAAGTAAAAAAAAATATACACAAGTATATGCACTGAGGTACAAGAAGCAGCAAAAGAGATTATTAGAGACTTCAGAGTTATGCAAAGCAAATGTGTAGAGCAAGATGGGTTATCCAACCTGTGGAAAGGAGCAATCTTATAAGGCCTTTTTTAATTTGTTTAAACTTACAAAATATAAATTTATCAAATCTTATAAAATATTCTTTTTTGAAAAAGTAGATTATTTACCATATATTTAGTTATTTAAATAAAGCAAAGGAAAGATCTTGAGAACTGATTACTGATTTAAGGAGGGAAAATGCTTTAAAGAGCCATAGGGTTCCATATTCATTAGCCTTCTTAATCCTTAGGAGCTTGTTTGGTTGGGGCATTTTGGAAGCGGGGAAGAATGATTTAATCTCGATTTGTTAGTCTTAGGCTAGAAAATAACTAAGAATATATTTAGCTAAACCATGCACTTGAGTAGTTTCTAATCTATTGTCTTCACTTTCTTTCCAACCATCTAAGTGTAAGAGGAAATAATAAAACAAACATCACCATCCCCGCTCCAAAATCCCATAACCAAATAATTGGATAACGGCTAACTCTCAAATATCTTGAATCGCAACTCCAATCAATCAATCTTTTTTTTCAATTCACCCTTATGAACATCATACTTTTTGTAACTAATACAGAGAATATGATACTTCCACAGTTCCACAAGCCTCTCCACAGTCCACACTAATAAACAATGATAAACACATAACATGAAGCAATGTGAGAAATAACAAAAGTGGAAACTATGATGATATGACTGGTTGGGGACATTACACAAAAGAGTATGACACTGAATGGATTTCCAGATGATCATAGAGTTTAAACTTCATCTCAACTACTCCTGTTTGTGCTTCCCTGTTTTTTTTTTTTTTTGAAATTGAAGCACAAAGAAGGAACACTTCTAACACCTTGGGATAGTGTGAGAGAGAATGACAGATGTTTTGTTTTAAGAGACATATATCCCTGACAAACCACTTTTCAAGTAGTAACAGATCATCAGATATCATAAAGAAGACGCCAAATGAGAAAAAAGAAAAGTCTTGTTTACATTGAAACCCAGCTAGATTTGTGGTAAAATTTCAAAGGTACCTATATGATTCCAAAAATATGAACCCTCAACATGATGAACGTTTGAAGTGAGAGATTAATTCCACAGCAGCAGCGACAAGGAAGCTCTAGACTAAGACGCATACACAGGATATTGTACCTCGAATGAATGTAGGGTGGTAAGGCAGCTTTCCAACCTCAAGCATCACATCTATGTCCCTCCCACAACTTGAAGCAATCTCAAATCCATCTCTGATTTCAGCCACAACCTCTCGAAGATCTCTTGTTCCACGTGAAGCAGTATCATCCAAATTACTTAACTTTGAAGATACAAATTCACGATCTACCTCAAAAGTCACTCCTTTTGTCTTAACATTTCCATCTCCAGGACTCTTTGATACAATGGGGTCAGAACTGGCCTTCTCCTCTGATACATCAGTTGAACCTGTAACATCACAGATAGAGCACTCTTCATTTCCTGATGAATGTGGTTTGGGGCTGCTGCCAGAACTGTCTTGCAATGGTGATCCTCTTGCAACCGGAGAACCCTTACCAGATTTAGTGGGCATTGGCTTTTTAGCAAGGTATTCTTCCGCGTATTTGGATGACACAGTTGGTTTCCTACGAGACATTCTTTTCATTGATTGCTCTACCCCAGCGCTGCGCCTTTGCAGGGACTTTCCACGGGTACCTGAAGTCCCCTCTCCTGCCCTCTTTTTCTTGGAATCATTACTCATCTTCTTCACCATAGGTTCATCCACGTGCATCTCGATTTCTGTTTCATCCTCCAAATCAGGAATCCCCTCCCTCCTCCTCACTTCAGCCGAATCCGGGCTACAATTAGCTGACCCATATGCATGGCTTCCATAACCCATGTAACTCGAGATCCCTTGGTCAATTCCATCAAACGGATTCAGAAAGTCCCAAACGGAGGTCGTTGAAGAAGGAGGCGGTGGGACATCCTCTGGAGGGCTGGGCTTCTTAGCCTGATTCCCATTCTTTTCACCCTCAGATGGACCTACAGGCGGATATCCAAAGAAATCCTCTCCATTCTGATAACGGGAGCTCCAATACTCATTGGAATAACCAGTCGAAGCAGCTCCAGCCTCATGAATTACAGTTCTCACCTCAGGGGTATGTCTCTTCATGTAATAAGTATGTGTATCGGAATTACCACCATTGTAGGCCCGAAACTGCGAATTGGATTGGGCATGGAAGGTATAGAAAGGATCCCAAAATCCCATCTGTGGAGGGGCCTCTTGATTCATTACAATGTAAGGCCCCTGAGTTTCCATTGGCAAATCTGGATGCAAGAAAGGAGAAGCCGGCCAAGAGTGCCCTTCATCTTCATCCCCGTGCAAGCCGCGACCACTTGTTTCATGAAAATGGTTCGAATTCAAATGCTCCTCATCGGAGGAATCAGATGATAAATGCAAATGCGAGTCCTTTCCGCACCCATTGAAGTCACGGTGATTAGGGCTCGAGGAACAGGACAGCTCTTTTGCAGCGGCTCCATCAGAATGAACAACCCATGAGGGAGAGGATAGGGAAGACGGGCAAGAAGGAGAAGAAGAAGAGGCCGCGGCAGCAAGTTCCTCGTCGACGAAGCGGCGGAGCGCGTCCCCCACCTCCTTGAGGGAGCGAAAGTAGGAGACGTGCGCGGCGGCGAGGTCGTACCTGTAGCCGGCTGCGGCCTTGATGAAATCTCTGCGCTCTCGGCAGCGGATCACCAGCTCTGTGTCGACCGCCGGCTTTGACCCGCTGCAACCCATCCAAAATGCTGCTGCTACCACTGTGTATTACTCCCTCAATTCGCGCCGCAATTCGCGGTCAGTGACGGAGGAGATTCGCCGCGCCCATAGCAGATCTGTGAATCGAATACGCGGACATGCGGCGGCGATTTCACCGCGCCTGTTCATCTATCTATCTCTGGAGCCTCGTAGTCGCCGCTTCTTCTCTCGGCGCGTGGCTCCGCGGCATTGTGACGCGGACAAAGCTGCGCTGCGTGCACAAAGAAAGAAGACAACATATAGTAGGGTAGTAGTCCGTATAAACCTACCAGAACGAAATTGGATTCTGATTTTCTACGGAAAGAGCCGTAGTACCAGCAAGCGGATCTAACAAAAAAGAGGTGTAACCCTCGCCCTAGGGTCCCACTCTTGTGCCCATTATGAGTTTTGAAAAGAAAAAAAAGTTGATATGAATAATTCAAAAAATTTGTGATTTTAGGATAATATTTCGAAATTAAATAATTTATAATTGTTCACAAAAATTACTCAATTTTACATCAATATTCCAGGCTGCCAACTAAGTTGAATATGTGGCATTTAAAATGGTGACTAGATAATTATTAAGTATGAATTAATAATTAATTATAAAAATAAAGAAAATATCATGAATGTGTTATAATTGCCTTCCTCTATATTAGACTTACAAAAAATGACCCGACCTAAAAATACTAGATTTTGAACAAAGGTTTTGATGACCGGATTCGAAATGACCCGCTAAAAAAGAGTCAAATCCGACCAAACCCGAACCCACCGACCGACCCACTAATGTAAGAGTTTTTCAAAATCATATACATTACTACTCGTTTTTAATGTATAAATTTATATTTTCGAACAAAATTTTAATCATATTGCATAAAATTCTTACTTTTTTCTAAAACTTATGCATTTTTTTAATTCTTTATATTGATTTATATATCTAAAAATTATTTCTGAATTTAAAATAGAATGATTTAGTAGCTTTAATACATGTTTTTGATGTTTTAAGTTTATTCTATACAAAATGCAATTGGTAATGTCAATTTAAAAAATTTAAAACCAGAGTCAAAACTCGTTAGGTCAACCCGAACTCGATGCCATGAACATACAGTTCTCAACCCGAATCCAATTGACCCGAATCCGAAGTAACCTCAACTCAAACCCGACCTGACCGACCGATTTGCCAGCTCTACTCTATATTGATTTGATATAAAAATATGTTAAAACTGAAAAATAAAGTGTTTATGTTTTAATCGGATAAAGTATGAATAGTGCTTCAGATAAATTAATCACTATCTATGCCTATATCTGCATACTCGTTACACAATCACTATCTATGCCTATATCTGCATATGCTTGACACGAAGAATCACCAAGTAAAAAGAAAAGAATAAATTAATCTTGTATAGATGTTATATTCATATCGTTGTTGCTACAAAGTTATAATAAAATAAAGTACCCATCCGCTTCTAACTGAATCACAATCATCTTTGTCCTTTTGTACTCTTTAACAATATCTTTTTGCTTGCCCACAGCAGTTAGGATCCCCATAGTGTCTGATAAAATATAAAATGTGAGATATAATCTTAAACTTATCGGAATAAATTAAATTTTGGATCAGTGAGTGATTTATTACCAACTAAATACGGGTAGTTCGAGTCTGCCTGCAATATCTCTGAAATAGTAGTCAACTTAAGACCATGCACAGGTATTCTCTCACAGCTACATGCAGTTACAGTGGTTCTTGGTTGAAAATTCAGCCTGAACTCATGTCGAGAGGTCCGATAATATCCACTACTAATGCCGATGCCAAAATAGGCAAAGACATACACAGACCATTCCTTTATTCGCTTCTCAAAAGTTCCAACCAAACTTCTCCGGACAGTGGCATGTATCGTAGTTCCCTACATTTGTTTGTTCAAATTAAACATCATAAAAAATCTGCAACAACATATCCTCTTAGGAAACAACAATAAATCTGAATATAATAAAAAAACAACATCAAAACATCTGAATCATACACTAAGCAAACACGCAGAAGCAAACTGATGGTAGAGACTGCTTAGTGTCTTTATAATAATACACTAAGCATTCATTCTTCTATAAAAGGGCACCAAGTATGTACTAACTGTTAGTTCAATGCACACTGGTGGTAGAGACTGTAAGTAGGCAAAATATAGATATATTTATAAGTAGGGAAAACATATTTACAGTTACTGATTTGAATATCCATCCACTGTCAGTACTTAGATGTTACAGTTAAAATTAGAATTAGTACTTACTTAATGTATATGTAAATGATGGATCGGACCAATACCACACATAATCTATATGTACATCAGTAGATGATATCTCTTAAATTCTATCCAAGATACTATTCCTAACTCTTAATTTTAAGACAGAATAAAGTACATACACCATTCATATCCATAAGCAATTCCAAACAGACAGACAGCAATAGCATCACTGCTGCACACCATCTACTATAGTACTATGAGAGGCACAATTAGTCAATATTATATATAGAGTACTTCAAATGAATGCAAGAAAATTGCTGATGATATGACATGCTGGGGTCCTAGTAGTGAAATATCAAGGTTGGAAAAGTAGCTATACAAAACACAATATAATAAAATTCAACTTCTTCACTGTTTCAGGATAGAAAGGAAGAGAGATGCTGACGGGGTAGCAAGCCATGGTAGAGACATTACAATTGAAAAAATCATAGTGCATTACATTAAATAAGAAATAAATATCCGGGTCACACTGCCAGGCTTATAATCCAAAAAAAAACAAATAGAACCACACTAAAAATATGCCAGTAATACCGCACGGGAAAACCTATATAGAATAATAAAACTAATATAATGTATAACAAAAAAATGAGAAAGAATATGATGAATCAAGAGAAGGTGACATACATGTTCATCCATGAACACCATTTCAATAGAATTTGTAGTCCTCTCATCATTATTAGCGGGTAAAGTATACAATCGTACGACACGAACCATGATCCTCCAACATAGTGATCTTCAACAGTCGATGGATGGTCATTGTCACAGATTGAACGAAAAAACAAAAAGGAATATGAATCTCAGAAAACGGGAATTCTGGGTTATTCTTGATGAGAATGTATATATAGATAGAATTATAGGAAGAAAGAATACATCTATTAATAGAATATAAATTAGGTATATGATTTCTCAAATCTAATTAGGGTATACGAATATGAATTAGGTATGAATCACGTCCCTAATTTTTTCAATCAATTGAAGAAAGCGTATTAATCAACCCTAATTTCGGGTAGAAATTAGGGAAAAATTGGGGTACCGAAGAAGAAAATGGAAAGGCGTATCGGATTACCTGTTATTTCTTTCCTTCCGTGACCCAACGCAGCGAGGAATCATATTTGTTTCCTTTTCAGCGTGAAGATTTGCAGGAATTTTCCTTCTTTCTGCGCGAAGAGCTCGGGGGAGAAAGAACGGGATACTGGAAGGACGAAGGAGAGCTTCGCCTATAATTAGACGCGTGTCATCTGACGTGTCGTCAAAATAAGAGTCTTAATTTGCCACGTGTCAAAATTCTAGGCTATCAACTCTCAAATATTATATTAAAGCATTTAATAAGTTATTTGTTGTTCATTTTACTGTTTAAATAATAAAGTGATTAAATACTTTCATATTTAAAATATTATCCGTGCAACGCACGAGAGTAATACTAATTTAAAGATTAATAAATCCATAGGTATTCAATTCAGAATTTTTTTGAATTCAATCTGGATTTTGATTGATTTTTTTGGATTCTAAAAATCCATAGGTATTCAATTCAAAATTTAAAAAATCATTTAAAATTTGAGTATATTCAATTCAAACTTTAAAAATTCTTTCTAAATATGATGGTATTCAAAATTTGGTAAATTTTTAAAAATTTTAAAAAATGTGGATTTCAATGGATTTTCATGCCTTGGTATAAATACAAATCCAATTTCCAAATCCAATCAAAGCCCTCAAATTTTTGCCGACTCCTGTTCTCTTCTTCCGCGCACGAACTAGTTCTTCATCTTCTCCAGCTTCATCTCTTCGTCAATCCTTCACTCCATCTTCAAGGCAAGGTCTTCTTTATTGTTTAACAACTTGTTTTTCTCTTTGTTTATCAATAATTTGTTCAAATCAAGGTAAACTCTAACATGATTTTGGAGTTTTTACCGAATTTCTTTATGAATTTTAAACCCTAATTAATTTCCGACCCAAAGTAAACGTTTCTACTTTCCGCTTACCCTAATATCCTTCTGCAACTAAACAATGAGAAGAAAAAAATGTGTGGTTCTTAGTCACTCTACGAACTCATAGAGAATTTGAATTTCCGTTGGAAAAAAAAAGAGGTGAAGATTTGATTGGAGTCATGATTTTGCAGCAAAATGCGGTTTTTTTATTTTTGATGGGGTTGATTTGATTGGGTCGGGGCAGGGTGGGTGGTTTTAACTCCAAAGTCAAAATGAGCTTGTGGGGTGCAATTGACGGGGGTAGGGGGTGCGTTTGGATCGGGGCAGGGTGGGGGTTTACCGGGGTGTTAGGAGGTAGGAATAGTCAATTTTACGAACGGGGCATCAGAGCACCCCGAGTCATCCCATGACATTGAAACCCAATGTAATGGGAACCTTGGTGCTTTTTATAGGCTCGCCCAAATTGTTGTTAATTATATGTTGGTGTTGAGCTTTATAATAATAATAATAATAATAATAATATATTTTAAAAATAATTTATTTTTATTTTATAATGTTATTTTTAGAATTTTTGGTCAATTTCATAAGTAATAATCAATGTTAGAACAATGTATAGATTTTTAAAATAACTCAAATGTATATATAAATAATCCATTGATAATAAACAATCTATCATAATCTTATAAAATCCTGCTAATAAAATATATTGAAATCTATCCAACTCTGCATAATTTTTAAATAATCCATTGACTTTACAGAATCCATAGATTCAAAATAATCTGTCAGAATCTTTAAAAATCTGAATTGAATACACGCCTTAAAACAATTAGAAATGGTTTGGTACCATTAAAATCAGATTTTTAATTGCTCCAACATTTATTTAAGAGCTCATCGCCTCATTGGGTTGAGGCATGAAGGGAATCGTCACCAAAGGTCTGTTCAACTTCTTGAGACTAAGCACCCTCAAATCACCTCTCATGGCTACCATCTCCACGGCGGCTGAAGCTTTCGCCTCCTCCCCCTCTTCTCTGAAACGTGTTGGCACTCACAATGGCAGCTTCCACTGCGACGAAGCTCTTGGGTGCTATATGATCCGCCTCACCAACAAGTTCAAGGACGCCCAAATCGTCCGCACCCGTGACTCCCAGGTAACTTTCACCTTTTTCAACTCGTGGGATTCATCTCTTGGTTCCCGGAAATGGCACATATTGTATGTGTTTGTTTGTGTATGCAAAGAATTGTTTTTTTGCAGATAAACTGTTTGTTGAAATGCTTGATTTGATTTTAATAAGGTGTTGGAGAAGCTTGATGCTGTTCTTGATGTTGGAGGGGTTTATGACCCTAGTCGAGATCGGTATGATCATCATCAGAAGGGATTCGAGGAAGTCTTTGGGCATGGGTTTGGGACTAAGCTCAGTAGTGCTGGTCTTGTTTACAAGGTAAAGCTAGTTACAGGCACATTGTTGGCTATTGTCTTTTTACCTCACACCATGAAGTCTGAATTTTGTTTTGAAGTTGTTAATGGAGGTTATATGGAGCATTGTTAGGAGTATTATATTTGGCATGCGATTGGGTTTTGTTTAATTATTATGGATTATAGAGTCCTGATTGGTATTGTTTCTCCGTAGCATTTTGGAAAGGAGATCATTGCAAAAGAGCTTCAAGTTGAAGAAGAACACCCAGATGTGCACAGGTTGTTTCTAGCTGTCTACAAGAGCTTCATGGAGGTATAAATTTTTTGGGCTCTTCTCTAGGGCTTGCAGCAAACCATCCCCTTTCATTCTTGAATTTGCATTCTTGCAGTCTTTACAACTCTGGATTTCATTCACTGTTTCAGTTGTCTAACCGCATGCCTTGGACCCTATCATGAACAATTTTTAAAGCTTCTCTATCATGAAAGTTAAAGAAGGTTCATAACATGCCAAATTTATACCACATTTTCTTAAATACTACATGAAATTCCAGATGCTAAAAGACAAGGGTTTATATTTTTGCCCCCAAAAGTAGTAAATCACAAATTAACATAGTTCACTCAGTCACATTGGGATGTTGGGATTGTTGGTATTTCTTATCTAAGCCCAAATCACTTATCTTGTCACATCACTCTTTGTCGCGAATCAATTGCACTTTTGCCATGGATATTGCATTCTGTTGTCTTTAGCTGCATATAAGAATTTAAGTATTTTCTTTTGGTTTTTGGACTAAAAAGCCTTTTAATGCTTGAAACAGGCTATTGATGCTGTAGACAACGGAATTAATCAGTATGACACTGACCAGCCTCCCAAATATGTCAACAATACACATTTATCTTCACGAGTTGGGAGATTTAACTTGGATTGGACTGAACCTGATCAATCGTCAGAGAAGGAGAATGAGGCTTTTTCTCGTGCAATGTATTTAGCTGGAAGTGAGTTTATGGATGTAAGGCTCCTTCCGAATCCTTAGAAAATGTTTCTATGCATCCTTTTCCTAGCATAATTCTCTGTAGAGGGTTGGCTCATGGCCACACTGCAAATTTATTAATTTTCGAACTTGAGTTGAGTTTAGTTTTTATGTTTGAGGATTAATGATTGACTAGTAAATAGCAACTGTTGTTTTCTCTCTATATATAACATGTTCTTATATGCTCAGAATGTTCGTTATCATGCAAAATCATGGTTGCCTGCCCGGTCAATTGTTATGGAGTGTCTTGCTTCAAGGAAGGATGTTGATCCAAGTGGAGAAATCATGGTGTTAAATAGATTTTGCCCGGTAAGTATACGCTTACCCTCTAACCAAGTAGCAATTTTATACCACTTTTCAATTCTCCAGTTGAGATAATAACGATGACTACAATTGCTCTACTCTCGCTATAAACATCACTAAAAGTTTTTTTATTGTAAATCGCTGGATTTGAAATGTGCTGAGACAAAACATTTTTTGTCAAACAGTGGAAGCTGCACCTGTTTGAGCTTGAGGAAGAGTTGAAGATTGATCCGCCAACCAAATATGTTCTTTATCAGGTAGTTTCACCCTTCTCTTGAGGACTGTTTTCCTCTGTATTTGTAAATGTTCCTGAAGAATTCCAATGACAATCTAGTCCCTCATGATTTGAAGGATGATAGAAGCAAAAGCTGGCGAGTGCAGGCAGTGGCTGTCTCTCCCGACAGGTTTGAGAGCCGGAGGGCACTACCGTCCAAGTGGAGAGGTCTTAGAGATGACGAGCTCTCAGAGGAGGTGGGTATCCCTGGTTGTGTTTTTGTCCACATGAGTGGGTTTATTGGTGGGAACCAAACCTATGAAGGTGCCTTAGCCATGGCAAAAGCTGCTCTGAAACTCTAAACCCCAACCATAGCTGAAATCATTTTTTGATTGCTAGACTGTTTCGATTCTCTTGTTTTTTTCTTTCTAAATCTTTATCATTGTCGACGCTACTTCTTGTTTATTCGGACATGAAGATCGAAGAGCTTTGTACTGGTTATTGTTTCTGCAGTTTTTATTAGCATTGTTGATTTCTTGGGTCTTTTTGAGCTTTTTTATTTCATTGAAAACGGAAAGGGTATAACAGAGGGTTTTTCATGTTTCGTCCATTATACTACAAATATTTTGATTATTTTGGCTAGTGGTCTTCTGTCAAAACATCAGTTAGCCACTACCTTACCGTTAAAATTTAGAGAGTAATTTTGTCACTTCATGTAAAAAAACGAGACCATTATAAGTAGATTTTATTAAATAGAGACTCCATTTCTATGATTTGGCATTTGTATTTGATGTACTCTTCTGATTATGGGTAATAATAATTTATATTTTAATCTCTTACTCCCTATTATGCATCCGGAAGTTTGATGCTTATTGTATATGTCCCATACTCCCTACGTCTTACATGAAATATTCTTTTCGATCAATGTGCAAAATTTCGTGATTTCTTAAAATAATTTTGTTTACAAATTGGTATTGAAACTAAAAGAATAAAAAATATATATTTTAAAATATCAAAAATTCTATTCAGACACAAAATAAGAGGTGACAACAATATTTTATTTTATCAAATTATTAATGAAAACATGCAAGCAAATAAAAGATTTCATGCGGTCATAATAGTAAAGAAATAAATCATTTTGGGACGAATGAAGTAACTCATTTTGTGCATTTATTTTTTGCATATACTTGATGCATGGAAATGTGAGATTGATGTGTCATGTGTGTGCTTTATTTTTTTTGAGTCACACTTTATTTTTATTGAGTCACGATAAGAATATACTTACCGTCTCCGAGTATTTATCCACTTTCGACTTTTTCAGTCAATATTGTTAAATTTTGACTCCAAATTAAATAAAAAAGATATGAGATATTAATACAAAAATAGTTTTTTATTAGATTTATTATATAAAATATTTTCAAAGTATTATTTTATCTAATTAAAATATAATATATATTTTATTCAAACTGAACAAATACTCCAAGATGGAGGTAGTAGTTTTTATTGGTGCCAAAAAAAGGTTTATTATTACTATTTCTTACAAATTATATACTCTATGTTTCGTACACCGATACAAGTACATAGAAAAACGAATTTAAGATGGATGAAGTAATTTTTTTAAACAAATTTTGTCAATTATTGTATACTCACTTTTTTTAAAGTTCAATAAAAAATTAATGTAGCATAGATTAAAAAATGATCACAAACTAATGCATGTGCCCTAAAAAAGATACTCCCTCAGTCCGTCATTGATCTTATCAAGTGACTTTTTTGTTTCTCCGAAAAAAATCTTTCCATTTTTTAAATTTAAAATACCGCAACTACCCATATTTTATTTATTACACCTCATTTAATATACTCCACCCACTTTCATTAAATGTATTTTAGTAAACTTCCACTTTTTTTTAAACTTTCATTCAAAACCACAAAAAGTCAATTTGAAAAAATATATGGCGGGTGTAATAATAGCAGGCCTAATATTAGAATCAGGATAGATAGATAGACAGATAGATACAGTCAGACAAGTGGAAAGGCAAAACCCATCAATGGAGTGGAGTGCCTTATAATGTGTTTTACACTTTTACTTGCCCCAAAATGTTACTACTAGATTACTTAAAATCTCTGCTTAGCTTATTCACAAATCAGCTACCCAATAATGAGGAGTTAAGGAGAGAACCGCGCAATTCAACGATTGAGTCTCTCAATTAAGCAGACCGTAACGCCTCGCCAACTGATCAGCGATTGCGTTTTGCCCATTCCCAGTGATGCTGTCTAGCAGCTGAAACTTCTTGTAGTTCGCCTTTAGCGTCACCTCCTGCTTCTTCGCCAGCTTTTCTTCCTCTTCTACTTGATGCTACACGGGAGAAGGGCAAAGTTAGCGAAACGGACGCAGTTGTGTATCACCAAACAACTAAAACAAGAGATATATGTTGCAGTTAAAGAAGACAAGGAAAGCGGAGAACCAGCTTTTTTTTTGAATGGAAAACAAGTGTTCTAAGGTTTCACTATGGTCTATTTGGAACCCGGAAAAAGCTAGGGAAAGAAAATAAGGAATTAAGTGAGAAATTCAGAAGTAAAGAATATATGAAGGATATAGAGAGTTGGTTCAGATTCAGTAAATCAATTTTGCACATTTGTAATCACCAGCATTATAATAAAACTATGAAATATAAATATATGTGCAATTCTAATCAAACTTGATTTTCATTTGTATTTTCCTATGTAAAGCCATATGAACATTTAAAAGTATCATTTAAGCATGTTTTCGAGGTTCCACACATAGTTAACCCAGGAGCATGTGTAATATACCTCCATCAGAAATTCAGCTTGAGAAGCATGTTCTTGAGCAAGAGCCTTCATCTTCATGGCTAACCCGTAGTTAGGGTTACCACGGTCCACCCATTGGTATTGTAATTTCACACCAGGTTTCGGCGGCCGCTCATCAAACATCTCAACCTGTGCAGCATATGCCCTCAATGGCCTTGGCATCCCCGCGATCATGAATGGTGAACTGCTCACCTCAGATATGATTGATTCGGCCTGCTCTGCAGTTTCCATCTCCACCAAAGCGGATCGGGCTGCCTTGCAGAGGTTGAGGTAGTTAGGGAGTAAACTGACATCAGTGACGCTGCCAAACTGGTTAAAGGCAGCTGTTAGGACAGCCTTGGTGGCCATGGGTGAGAGGTTATCAACAAACACTGTTCTCTTCACTTTTTTTAGGAAGCTTGCATACTTCTCTTCTTCTTCATGCTCCATTTCTCCCCTGAATGATAATCAATCCAAGAATCATCATCAGAAAGAGAAATGTGGTATAATGTTCAGGATGATCATTAATGTAAATGAGGTTAGTTCCATTCCATTTTCTCCTTTTCCATGTCTTCCTACAGGAGAACCACATCATGAATATCATGTTTTTCTTGGAATTTTGCAAATAAGAGATTTTTTTAGTGCAACATCTATTGCCGATGGAACTAAAAGAGTCATTTTAACAATGTTTTAACTTCGGGTAAATAAACGGCTAAATCAAAACTGTTAACATAATAAAGATAAGAGAAATGGACTAGCGGCACATCACATACGAAAAAAGGAAACAACACTTGCTTACGAGCTAAACCTGTGAATTCAAGACAACAGGAAAATGTTTTGTGTGAATTTTCGGATCATACATTCTCAAACAATGTTGCAGAACACAGACCCAAGCTCTTTTGAAAACAATCATTTTGCTAAATTATTTCCCCCCAAAGAAGAAGACAACTGTTTCAGTCAGCTCATTTTCATCATGCTCATTTTAAATTATATACACACAACGTACAATTGCCAAAACATATCGAGCGTAATACATAAACACTAAGTGCAATATCCTTACGATTGAATCTATGAAATAAATTAGGGCTTGAGCGTTGAAGAGTTGAACTTACAAAGACGAAATTAGGGTTTGAGAAGTTGAATTGAAGGTCAGGACTCAGCCGGCGTCCGGTGACTGAAAGACGGAAACCGGCAGTAGCGGCGGGCGACTGGGCCGCCTAGGCGCGAGAAAGAGAGAGGCAAGGGGCCGACGAACAGACGCCCGGCGGAGCCGGAGCTAAGGACTCGAGAGACCGGAAGAGTATTACTCCGTACACTGTAACTACCGCTAAATAAATTACTCCGTATCTTCCTTATCTAAGCAGAGTCTATACTCGTCTAATCTGGGTCTTTGGTTGTCTTAAAAAAATTGGTTAAATACGTTTTTTGGTCTTATAAAATTAATAAATTTTTTACTTTTAAATAAATTTTGTCAAATTCTTTCATGAACCATGTTGTAAATGGTGGTGCTTCATATAATTTAGATAAGTAATTTTTAAGTATTTAGATAAATATGTATTTTTTAAAAAACAAAAAGGAAAAAAAATTAAAATAGGATTAAACAGAAGTTTCGTGTTTTTATTTCGGAAATAAGAATTAAAAAACATTTACAATGTGTTATTTCAATTTAAGATTATCTAAAAATAATATTTTTCATGTCTTATTATTAATATAACTACAATTTATAAATCATTTCGATTTTTCTATTTTTATTTTTCTCATATCACTATTTTCTAATTCACATTCATTTTTTCTTCATTTTTTAATGTAAATAATACGAAGTAAAATCACAATTGAATTTTTTCTGATTCACATTCAATTGAAGTACTATTTTCTGATTCACATACAATTTTTCCTTCAATTTTTAATGTAAAAACATAATTTTATTGTGATTCTTTTTTAATTTATTGTGGTATGTGGCATTGAATATGAAAATTTCACGATACTTTTTGATAATGTTAATGATCATGATTAACACTGTATATATATTTTAATTATTATTTCGAAAATAAAAATATGGAACTTTTATTTTGAGATATTTTCAATATTTTATTTCTACTTTAATCTTTTTCCCAATTTTTTTCCATGTATAACTATGACGTAAACGTGCAACAACTTAAAATTTAGATTATTTTACATAATACAGAATACTAACATTGTGTTTGGTTGAAACTAGACTCGTACCCGTGCGATGCACGAGCTATTAACTGACACATAAGTACTCCATGTTTTGAATCAGAAAAAATCTTACCAAAATCTAAAGGATTACATAAATAAGTAGATAAGAAAAGTGGGGGAGGTTTGAGAGTGTTATAAGTTTTGGAATACTTCTTTATAAACTACATTCGTAGTTTGGTTACATGTAGGAAGGTCTTTATTGCAAATCAATATCTTCAACCTTGGCGACTTGTGACACGTGAAACTGCCACATAAAGTTGACCATGACTGAATACAGATTTCTTCAATAACAATCCGACATGCGACAAAGATTGGCCTTGACTTTTGTTAATTGTCATCGCATATGAAGTCATGATTGGGAATTGTTTCCTTTGAAACCTAAAAGGAATCCGCATGCGTACTCGTGCGATGCACGAACTGTAAAATTACTTAATATTTAGTCTTGATTTGGAATAACAGAAAATGATACAAAACTTAAAAGATTATAAAGTTTATTAAAATTGTGCAAAATAAGGTAGTGTACAGTAAGGATCGTAGTCAACGTGAACTGAAGTTTTGGAACATTTCTTTATAAACTACATTCGTAGTTTGGTTGGGTGACGGAAGGTTTTTATTGCAAATCAATATCTTTAACTCTTCACAGCTTGGAACACATGAAATTGCAACATAAAGTTAACCATTACTGAATATCGATTTTTTTTAGTAGCAATCCAACATGTGACAAAGATTGGTCTTTACTTTTGTTAATTGTAATTGCGTATGAAGTCATGATTGAGAATTGTTTTCTTTGAAACTAAAAGGAATTCTTGCATCTGACGGTGTAAGCGATAACTGTGGGATAACAACTTCTTGCCCGCCATTTTTTCCTATTGTCAGTGTGCCTTGAATAAGATGATTGTCAAGTCGAGTTACTATCAATCTTGTACCATTGCACAGACCCGGTCATTGATCAATAATTCTCAACAACACAATGGGTGTTCCAACCTTCAACTTTAGTTCATGATTTGGGACACCAGAAGCTCGTACGTTGTTCAAAAATTCTAGAGAATGTAAGTTTATAAAAAACTGTATTTGAATCAGGCTCACACATTGCATCAAAACTAAAGTAGCTTTTCGCTTCTCCAACGTTGTTCAATGATGTCATATAGTCATTGATTTCATCCACAACATCTAAAATTGATGCAAGAATCACCTGATTCTCAACCAAAATAAAGTCACATAACACATTCAAAATAAAGTCAGATAACATATTTAAAATAAAGTCACATAACTCTTTCATTCATCATAATATATCCTCTCATTTTCGATCATGTGTATCACCATGCCTTGTTTTCTCTATTTTTATCATGTCATCATGCTCTTTTTTTCTATCCATTTTATTTAAAAAACCTTTTATGTTCAATCCTTGTGTAGTTAGCAATATTGAAAACAATATTGTAGACAAAAGCATAAAAATTTATCACAAAGAGGAAGAACAAAAAATAATGTATAGAAGAGGAAGAATTTTCCAACCTTGAAGCTCGAGGAAGGTAACTTACTAAATTTCAATTGCTCTCCTTTTGAATTTGAAAATTTAATTCAAAAGATTACAATTTATTTATATTGTGTATTCTGTAATAGGTACAACACATTTATTGCTGCCCATTACACTCTTTATATGGACGGCTGTATGTGCAATAAATGCTGATGGGACTTCTAGCGTGCGGCTCCATAAAATATTTGGTGTAGATTTTGTTTATAAAGTTTCTGACCTATAAGCTACCCTAAATATACCTAATTAAACAACCAACCCAATAAAGGCAGCCCACTCGGCCCAATAAATACCATTGAAATTAGGCACAACTCAAGTAATGCATTAAATAGCATCCAACTTTAAAGATTTCGAAAATCTATTTTTTTTAATTTGGAAAAGACATAAAGTGATTGATTATCTTTGAATTGACATGTTAAAAAAGTTAGTTTAAGTTACTAATGAAAGTAATAATTTATGTGGTGTAAAGCATGCATACTCTTCCCTAGAAAGGTGCTTACATTATTCAAGAAATTCACTACCTATGCAAAGGATTTCTTTGGACCAGACGCATCAGCCCAATCACGGAGCAGCCCAACTCACATAGCCCAATATTGGCCAAGATGTTTAGGCGGGAACACTGTAGCAATTGCCCTCACACCATTGTATAGATAAAGATAATTAAGAAAGAAGAAAATAGACATCTCAAGCTTTCCTCACCAAAAAGGAAAAAATTGGTTTTTCATTTTCTTTGGCCCATTTTGGTACATGGAATTCAAAATATGGAATTGGAATTTAGGATTTCAGTTCCAATTCTAATGTTTGGTAGCACAAAAATTATGTGAATTTAGAATTGATAATGCAAAAAAAGGAATTGAAATTGGTGAATTCAATTTTATGGAATTGAATTCCATGAAATTTCAATTTCAATTCATTCAATTTCATATACCTAACAGACCCTTAGTACATTTTACTTTTTCATTTTTTTTCCATCCGTTTTTTTTCTAACCAAACAAGAAAATTTATTACTCGTATTATCTTAATTTCTTATATTTTTCTTCCAATTTCTTTAAACCATGTAAAAAATATCACTCGAGTGTTAGGGTTCATCATTTTCTGGGTGTTGATAGGCATCCTCCGACCAATTCTATCGTATTTTATGCTATACAATTACTACTCAGAACACTAGCAGGTTTCATGGCGGAAGTGATCTCAATCATGGACATTGACGATGACCGCAATGGCGTTAGCGCCAATTCGAAGCTGAACAAGGGGAAAAACATCGTTTTAGTCGACTCCAAAGCCACGCCTTGGGTTGAAAAGTATCGTCCCCAGTCTCTTTCCGACGTCGCCGCCCATCAGGACATCGTCGAAACCAGTAATATTCCTCGCTCTCTCCTATAATATCGTATGCTATGTATTATTGAGTCTGGCATTTTAACGAGCACATGGAAAGCTGGAACTTTGTTGATGTATGGTGTAATGTGATGAAAAGTTGACAGGCTTGCGAGTGGAAACAGACTGCCGCATCTGCTGCTGTATGGGCCTCCCGGAACTGGGAAGACCTCCACAATTCTTGCCCTGGCTCGGAAGCTTTATGGAGAACAGATGCACAATATGGTTTTAGAGTTGAATGCTTCCGATGATCGTGGGATAGATGTTGTCAGGCAGCAGATTCAGGACTTTGCCAGTACTCAGAGCATCTCATTTGGGTAATTGAGCTCTGTAGAACATATGCTTGCGATATCATTGAGTGAAATTGATAGGACTAGTTCATAAGCATTTTTTTTGGCTTGGTTCCCTTGACATTGGGACCAATGTCATGGGATGACTCGGGGCTCTACGTTGTTCCGTTTGAAAAATTGACCAGCCATTCAGCATTGTCCAGCCATTAACTGCTTAAAATTTCCATTTTTCTTAAAAGTTCTCCATAATTATTGTCTCTTGGGCAGTGCAAAGTTTTCTGTGAAGTTAGTGCTGTTGGATGAGTCAGATGCCATGACAAAGGATGCACAGTTTGCTCTGCGTCGAGGCAAGTTCTTTTTTTTAATGGATCAGTTTGAATGCACACACCATTTATTGGAACTGGCAATCCTAACTCATTTTTATGCAGTGATTGAGAAGTATACAAAAAATACTAGGTTTGCACTGATTTGTAACAATGTCAACAAGGTGATCCCTGCTCTACAATCACGGTGTACACGCTTCCGGTTTGCACCTCTTGATGATGTTCATGTAATTGAGAGGCTTAAACATGTTATTGAGTCGGAAAGGTGAGTTTCAAAGCATTTTGTAATCACATCTGAGTTGGGTTTCTTCTCAGTCCCTCACAATTTATTTTTGATAAAATTTGTACGGGAGGAGTGTGTATTTTCCTTGGTATGAAAATGGAATTGATCTCATGATGTTGTTAACAAAACCTAAGTATTCTCTTTTCCAGTGCAAGTACTGTGACTGCCTACATTTACATTCACAATCGCTATGCAGTCCAGATTTTATGAACGAGAAATACACTAATCAGTTAACACCAATATATAGTTGATGATGTAATATCACTTATCAGTTAAACTCATGTCCATATGCTATATGAGCTAGTGATAAGTCTTTCTCCCATCAACATGGATAGTTTAGCATAACAATCACTCTCTTTCAATCCTTGCCTTCATTATGCAGGCCTTCAGTTCTATTCATCATTACCGCTTCCTTTCATTTCCTAGGCTACAATGAAATGTTTTTATGGCATTTATAGTGAAATAGGTATTGACTGTTGATAGTGCATATGCTTTCAAGATCTTTCAACAACTTTGCTTGGTTACAGACTTGATGTACCAGAGTGTGGCTTGAAGGCACTTGTGCAGCTTAGCAATGGTGATATGAGAAAGGCTTTAAACATTTTGCAGGTTATTTTCATTTAGCCTTTCTCATTTTCAATAATTTGTTCTTAACCTTTAGAATAGAAAATTGATCTCCATTATCATGAGAATAATAAAATTATGCTTCTTCTTTTCTTCTGCAACGGTGCATCATATTTCTCTCTCAATCAACATTTTTTTTGAAGACTCTCCATCAACATTGTTCATAATGATCATAAGAAAAGGGTTGTAGACTATAACATGCTTCTCAACAAAACCATGCAATAAAATGCACATGTTATGATGTGTGCATCTTGGCCTCTCAGTCTCTCTATTTAGTGCTGATGAGACCAGAAAGGTTGATGAGTGCTTAATTTTCAAATGTTACCTATCTCTCAATGATTAGACATGATTTATGAGTAGCATCTTACAATTTTAAAGCATCAACACAATGTTTGAGAACAGAGCAGTTAAAAATAATTGGTTTTTGTTGCACTAAGATATCATTTGCCAATTGCCAAAGTTATCATCCTTTCTAGTTTCTACCTCTTTCAACCGTGCGGAATTTGATTGGTTCTCTTTTTGTTACCAGTCGGTTCAGTTTCATTTTGATGGTATTTGTAGTATTATTCGCAATAAAGGTTACTGATGATGTTGCAGGAAAGTGTATATACATATACTTATATTGACGAACATAGAATTGCTATATGAAAGAGAGGTTAAATCTGCATGTGATAGAAAATTCTTTCAAATGGCATATGTCATCAAAATATGGACTACCCCATGTACATAGAGTAGTTTTTTTATCCTAAAGCAATGAGAACCCTTCTTAGGCTTGAAAGGAGGTGGGTCATGTTAGGTTGACAATTAATTCAGGCACAACTCACAAGTCACAACTCATGTTTATGAACATGAACTATAATGAGATTCTAGCAATTTGTGCACTTGTTTGTAGTTTGCTACACTTCCTAGGCATAGTTGTGACGATAAGTATGAAAGAGTTGCAACATCTTCACCCAAAGTGACAAGCTTCACTTTCTGAGTGGCGGTTAAGTTATGCCTATAAATGACATAATGCCCGATGACTCTACTCCTAGTTTTACTTCTCTGTGTGGTAGTCATATTTGCACAAAATGTATCTCTCCCATAAACCGATGCCCACTTTTACTTGACAACAACAACAAACCCATTGTTACCCCACTAGTAGCGGGTCTGGGTAGGGGAGAACGTACACAAACATTACCAGTGTGGAGTCTCTATGAGAGAATGACAACAACAAACTTACTATAATCCCAACTCTGTTGGGGTCAAGATGTATAAAAAGTAGAGAGGTTTCCATTGGATCCTTGATGCATTGATGTATTTATTGTCTAAAACTTCATAGAAAGTAAGAATCAAGGGAAGTTTAATGTTACATTTTTATTTAGGCCGCTTTTTAACCAAAGCTAAAGCATTTTCAAAAACTCTTTCTGCTCTATTGGCTATGTACACTGGATAATAAATTGTTATCTATACAAAGCCATTGTGTAAAACATGAACAATGAATATTCCCGCCCAAACTAATTGGGCTCGGATGGGCTAATGGGCCGGAGGACGTGTAAAATGGGTTGGGTTTTGGGAAATGAAATTTTCTGGAGCAATGTGATATTAATTAGCCTGCAGTGGTGAGTGTGTTTATTAATGGGGAAGAGAAAGGGGTGATGTCGGCCGGAAAATGAAAAAAAAATTATGGAGCAATGTGATATTAATTATGGGTCTTGAAACAAGCTACTTTATGGGAAAAGGCCATTTTATGGAAAAAGGTGATATCATAATTATTTTGTACAAGGGAATGTCTGAAGGTGGCTTAGCTTCGGTATTGTAAAAGGCCATGCAGCCCACTTTATTGGACGTTGTGATGCCATTATAGCTTTTGAATTAGAGGGAGTGTATTGGCCGCTTGCATGTGGGGTAGTGTAATGGTGGCTTGGAAAGTTGAATATACGCATCTTTTGAGGCATGAGCATAATTAGAAAAGATTTTCAAATATTTAGATTCCTGTGCAAGTATTTTGGATTGCACACCCAACTATTTTGCACACTATCCATACATGTTCCCATAAAAATTACATTATCAGATCCACACTATTTCATTTTTCATTTTATTTTTTCGTTTATCAACTCTGATGCACTATAACAGAAATGTTCTGGCAACACATTTGGTAAAGCAGCTTCTTTTGTTTTTTTTGTTCTTTTTTTCCTTTGGTGTTTGTTGCTTCTTTATTTTTCAATTTTTTCTTTTTGTTTTTAGTTTTTAATTTGTTAAAACTTTATTTTTATAACTTTTTTTAATTTTTAGTTTTTTTAATTTTTAATTATTTTTCAAGATGTCCTTTGACATAACAGAATGATTTCCTTAAAATTTGTACTAATTTAATTATATTTTAAATTCAAATAATTAGATGTCATGTTAATTTTATATTTAGTTCTATTTGAATATAAATTTATACATTAATTCTATTAAATTTGTATTATTTATATTTTAGATAAATGATTGGTCGTGCAACGCACGGGTACAAAATCTTGTAAAATATAAAAAACATCAAGCACATTCTAGTTTACAACCAATGGGGCAGCACATTTTGGTACACATAAGAATAACCACCTTTCCTTGATATTGAAGATTGTATTTGACCAATTAATAATTTATTGATTACATGGTGGGTATCAAATGAGCAAGGGCTTTTAGAAGCTATACATGCTAGGAATGGAGTTAAGATTATTATTGATGATTGGCAGGTGATTGATGTTGTTGAGGTGGAAAGTGGTATGATCATAGGGACCATTTTTTCTTTTGGAAAATATGTTATTAACGTTGTTTTCCGATATGCACCATAAGTGGTGTTGGAATAATTGACTAATCACCACTTTTAGGATGGCCTAAAGGTCCTGGATGGTGTGGTTCAGGCATGAACATAGTTGTACTAATGGGCTTACAAACTTTTTAAATAAAATTTGGAAGTTGAATCAAATCCCAAATGGTTGGTGGAAAAGCATATTGGTACAAGAAAAAGAAACATACAAGATCGTGCATACTACATATGATTCAACCTGTGAGCAATCCCATGGAAATGAAGGGTTTAGATTTATGTCTGGGTGATTAACAAGGGTGATCAATGTTTTAAGATAACAGGTAAAATGTTATCAGGATGGTAAGTCAGGAACACACATTTACATATGATTCTTATAGACTTGAAGAAAGCCTATCATAAGGTACCGATGGAAATACTTTTTTGGGCTATGATAAAGAAAATTATGTCACCCCATATGCCCAACTATCATGTTAGATGTGTCAGTCAATAATTCATTAGTAAGTTTTGACATGCAAACTTTTGTTTTCATTACTTTCTGCAGTTTCAGTGTTCTTGTCATTTATGCTATTATTGCATCTTTGTTGGTTGGATTTTCCATTTTCCTTGTTTTCTTTATACAGTCTTGGTTGGATTTTCCATTTTCCTTGTTTTCTTTATACAGTCTTGGTTGGATTTTCCATTTTCCTTGTTTTCTTTATGCAGTCGACACACATGGCTTCCCAGCAGATAACAGAACAGGCTGTATATTTGTGCACTGGGCATCCGTTGCCGAAAGACATAGAGCAAATCACAAATTGGCTTCTAAATGAGCCCTTTACTGACAGTTTCAAACGTATCCAGAAAGATTATTTATGTGTGTATACCTTTACTACTTGACTGTTTTAGCGTTTCGTTGTGTGTCCCTTAACTATGACTAGGGATATTGGAAAATAAAACACGGAAAGGATTGGCTTTAGTAGATATCGTGCGAGAAGTAACCATGTAAGTTCGTATCATCTCTCAACTGTTTGCATTGCATTAATTTGCTTGATCTCACCCTTAAGCGCTTAAATACCAGGTTTGTTTTCAACATCAAGATGCCATCAGATGTGCGGATTCAGCTGATCAATGAGATGGCTGATATTGAGTACGTCTTGTTTTCTTGTATCTGTTTTCAAATTTGCTCTAGAATTTACCATATGGATCTTAATTCATCAAGGATGTGTGTGGAAACTTCTAAGGTTGCTCTGCTCATACAATAGCCAGAGTCGAGTGGGATAAGTTTTGTACCCTTCAATTTACCTGTGATCTTTATATACAAGTGCATTGGCAACTAAAATCAACAAAATCTGTATTGAGTTAGAAATCAAATAAAACACTTGTCCATTTCATATTTGGTTGTTAAATACTAAACCAAGTTTCAATTTACTTCAACGTGTTCACTAATCGCACCAAGAATATACGACGTTACATTGCATTATGTCGTTCAATTGACGATATGTTTTGTAACTGCTTGATGGACAATCCCTTCAGTATAAAGTTCTGCAACTTCCTTGACTAGTTTTTAGCATTTTATATATAATATATACGGCGTTACATTAAATATGTTTGCTCGTTTTGTGCGCAGATATAGGTTGAGCTTTGGCTGCAACGACAAGTTGCAGCTTGGGTCATTGATTGCTGCTTTTACAAAGGCAAGGTCTACACTGGTTGCTGCTGCCAATTAGTCACGCCCGTTGGGTGTAACAGCCTATTTGGTATGTGCCAAGCTTAAGAACTAACTGAAAGCCTATCAGATGGAGTCATAGTTTCTATGGTCTGCAGTTGGTTCTATCGACGAGTAGCGTTGATGTTTTGGGAAAGCTAGCCCGGGTGATGTAGTGTAAGCTTTGTACTAACTCATGCTTAATGGTAATTTACTTGAAGGATAGTGTTTTAGCTTGTACGGAGTCCTTAATGTTTGGAAGTCAAAGAAAATACTCCTTCCGTCCCAAAATCCAGCTCACATTTTGATTGCCCGAAGATTGAAAATTGTAAAAAGTGTGGTTAGAATTTGTTTGAAATAGAGAAGTGTTCCGAGCCACATATTCTCTTTAAAGAATGAAGACTATTTTTTGACGGACGAAAAAGAAAGCATGAATTTGGTTTTGGGACAAATATATATATATATATATATATATATATATATATATATATATATATATATATAGTAATGTGGGTCATACTAAATCCCATGATGAGCAACCCATCGGCGGATTACCATTAATGGAAGCTCAATACGTTTATGGGAGCGATGAATCACGTCTCCCATCAATTTATCCTTCACAAAGAGACCACATGAGGAATTAATGAGAGTGCATGTGGGAAGGATGTAATGATAGCGGCACAGTTCATGTGACATTGGCTTTCAATGTCATAACATGACTTGAGCCTCCTATGGAACTCAGTCGGTTAAATTCATGGTTCTTATCCCTTTGGCTCCTTCCTCTTTGCCTATTGGCTATAGTGGTCACTGTAGCCAATCGGCGAAGGGGAAGGAGAAAGGAGGCTGGGTGTGCAAGGGGCTTTACCAACGGAACACTGTACGAGGCTCGGGTGATGCTATAACATTCTTTTCAGTGTCACATGAATTGTACCGATATGATAGTGTTGATGGCAAAAAATATTGTGAGAAAGATGACTAACAAAACTGCATGTTAATAACGCTTGTTCTTAGAGTTATGTATAGTCCAATAATTCCAACTATAAGGAAAATTAAGATTGTTGAGTTAAATATAGAGTAATTTACTTAAATAGGACTAAAACATAATGACTTTCCTAATATAGGACCATATGTTTTTATTTCCCAATTTAGGACTTTTGGTCATTATGAATTAGTCATTATTCAAGTAAATGTTCATCATTACTGGACATTATTCCTCCCACTAAGACATTAATAAGTCCTATTTAGGGAATAAAAAAGTTTAAGTCCTAGATTAGGAAAGTCCTTATGTTTTAGTCTTATTTAGTGCAAATTTCACTTAAAAATATACTGGACCTTTCACTCATGCATTGATATTTGTCTCAATGCCACATGAATCGTGCTCATACGATAGTGTTGGTGACAGAAAATGAGTTGTTTATGGATAGAAATCATCTTTGCATAGATAGAAAAGTTTATAAAACATGGGACGACTAAAGTAGAAAAGTGTTACTCCGTAAAATTGAAAGAAAGATATGACAAATTTGACACTATAATGTCAAACCAACCCGGCCATTTAGGGGTTATTTCGTGCAATTTTGGTCTCAATCTCAATTTCGGTTACAAATGATTATTTTAAATATTCTTCGTTACAAAATTTATATACTTGACTACAGACTCTTTTCTTTATAGTAAATATTATGAATAAACCTCAAATAAATTAAAAATGAGCACTAGTGACTGTTTTAAAGGAAAAAACATTAACTTAAAATACTACGGAGTAATAAAAAACTAAATCGATACCAGTTCTGGTTTTGGTGCGAAAAATTGAGAACCAAAGCCGGTACTTGGTAATTCTGGGCGGTCCACTATCGTAGCGGTTCTTGTTCCTAATTCTGGTACAGATTTGGAATTGGTGTGACCAAGTCCATCCTATGGCCTAGCCCACCTTAAGACTAACTGTAAATCTCCGTGAAATTAAGATTTCATTAGTTTTTTCATTAAATTAAAGAAAAAGTACAATTATATAGTTGAAATTTATACAACAGCAACAACATTAATCCAGTGCCACAACGGTTCTCGCCCATTCTCGGGTAGGGGGAGTCGGATGTATGCAATCTGACCCTTATATTTAAAACATAGAACAGTTGTTTCTAGATGACCCACGATGAACGTCGAAAGTTACATACTTACATGGATTAACTCCTACTTCACAATTGCAAAAAGAACCGCCCAAAAAAATTTGCAAACATATTATTGAGAGTATATAAATGTTGTTCCACCTTTATGGCGTATCCACACTAAAGAGGCATTGGGCGAGCCTTGAGCATACAGTTCCCATATTTCATTCATGTACATATATCTCTATGATGAATACAGCATTATACAGCAATTGAACTCGGCCTGGTTCCCTTGCCACCAGCAAGGGTGCCACTCCAGTGTCACTAGCTTTTTAGAGTATCTCCGGTGTTTTCATTCGCAAAATGGATGTTTTCTGCCCCTAACCCCACGGTAAACCCCACCACCCCAGCCTGACCCAAACCCTCCCCTGTCAATTTGACTCCCCCAAGTTCAGTTGACTTAGGGGTTAAAAAAATTGACTCCAAAGTTAGGGGTTCCGCTTGACGGGGATAGGGGTGTGTTTGGGTCTGGCAGGGATGGGTTTACCGGGGGATTAGGGGGTACGAACCATTAATCCTGCGAACGGGGCACCGCATTGCCCAGTGGAACCGGAGTGGCAAGGGAACCGGGCCAACATTAAGGGAAAAAATGAAAAAGATCCGAGCTTGTCATTGCACATGGATTCTTGGTTCAGCTACGGGCCTTGTTATACAGCTGAGCATAGACTCTTTTTGTGCGGTAGACAACGATCAAACTCAAGACACATGCAATAATGCAAAGACCAGACATGATGGCACAAGTGAGGGAATAACATACAGTACCAGTGCACACAAGGGCTTCTTCCTCATCTGCGAAGCCATGAGATCTCACCCGTCTAAGTTCTTGCTGTTTCTTTGCTTCGTGGTCATAGATGCCGCTGGCTATTACACCAGAGAAGACCAAAGAACCAGCTGGACTCGCCAGTGTGAGGAAATTATACAGTGCTCCAAAGCTTTTCAGCCCAAAGAGTTCTGATGCTGCAGCCGGGACAATTGCCCAATGGGCTCCGTAACAAAGGCCCATGAAGATGGACAACACGTAAATTGCACCGGGCCAGCCCATGGCGTAAAAGAAAAGCACCATTGCCATAACGATTTGAACAACGGCCATGGCCACTGGCCTTGGATATGCATAATTCCTGGCGAGCATAAAAAGGAAAAAGCATTACTTGGTGCATAATACAAGGCTTGTCCAAAGTTATCTTCAACATATATAACTGTTGTAATAACTAAATTAGTGCTCTGGGGTATCAGTGAATGAAATTATATACTTGAAAACAAAGCTAAAAGATCCTTAAAGCAAGAAGTGACCTGACTAAATTCTATTCCATCAGTGACCCCTTTATCTCCTAATTTGACTTCGAACGCTTTTTAAGAACGTAGAAAAGAGTGGTTGAAATATATTTAGAACTGAAAAAGTATAAATCTCATACTCTCTTCAGAAGAAAGAACGATGAGATAAATTTTGGGATTGATTAAAAAAGAAGATAAAAAAGGAAAGATGGAGTAAAAAAAGCAATTTTAGTCAAGAATAGTGATTGTGAAATCTAGTTTGGCACAATAGATGACTACAAAATAGAGATCAAAAGCATGCAGCATACCTTACAATATTTTCAGAAAAGTATCCACCTGCAACCCGTCCAAGAAAGTTAAATATACTGATCATCGAAACGAATATGTGGGTATTGGAATACCCTAGAGACTGAGACATCTGGCCAAGATTGTCGATCACTGTTAAGCCAGAACCGGATGCTAATATTAGGGAGACAAACATAAGCCAGAAATCTGCCTTTACAAGTGCCTGAAGTAGAGTGAAATCCTCCCCCCTGCGTGGGCCCTTTCGGGACTTGACCCTCACTGCACCTTCAGCAGCTGCTTGAAATAGCTTGGCTTGCAAATGAGCAATCCGTTTCTGTCTTTCCCATGGCGGGAGTGTGTCTACTTCTGGAGGTTTCTCATCCTCCAGCTCACTGAAAATAACCACATTCCTATCCTGCTCAGATTGAGAGGCTTGCTGTTTTTCTGATTCAGTGAGAAAGCTCTCCTCCAATTGAGGTCTTGATCCCGTGAAGTAAACCAAAATAATGGGGATAATGATTGGAAGCAAAATGAGAACAACCAAGACAACAGTTAACAGTGTTATCAAATTCTGGCTCACACTTGTTAAGTCCTGGAGCATCAAAACTGCAAAGAGATAAGCAGCCAGAATAAGGCAAACGCTGTAAATGAATAGGAAACTTGAGTTGTCAGATGTCCTAGCTTGCCGGTGGCCTCCCACGGGTCTCACAAGGAACATCAGAGCAGTGATTACAATTGATGGCCCAACAGCAACCATGAAGACCAGTGATGCTTGATCCGGAAAGTTGATCGTGGCATAAACCTGTGTCAAAATTGCACCACTTAGCCCTGCAAATCCTTTCAATATCCCAACTATTGGACCCCGGCTTTTGGGAAAATTTTGCACACAGGAAACTAGAGCTCCCGTATTGAAGTATGTCTCACCATTTGTTCCCACAAATATCAAAATGCAAAGCTGCAATAAAGAAAATCCTCAGTCGTAAACCACAATTGAGAGAAACAGAATGCAGATTGCACTATAGTTATTTCAGTCTGAAACAGATCATTGGTAATAAAACAACCAATTACAAAAAAGTGGCAAACGGGCAACAGATAGTTTATTAAAAATCGGTATAACATTTACATATTTAAAAACCACATCAAAAGTTCTACTAAGTTGCGACAACCCATTTTATTCTTACAATTGATCAAAATAAATAAAGTAAAGAAATTAAAGATGATACTCCATATAATTTGACTTGTGAGTCAATAGGGATTCATGTTCATAAACAAGAAGAAAGCAAAGCAGGAAGCAATCAAATACGGAGTAATTAATATAATAAAGGAAGCGAAAACACAAAAGGGAATGAAATGTGGATGGAGATAGGGGAGACAGATACCAGCCAGAGAGGGGACTCGGGGAGCTTGTGGGCAACGAAAAGCCAGACGAAGCCATAACCTAACAAGTTCTGGAGAACGCCAACGAAGAGGACGAGCCAGATGGGCAGAATCTCGCAGAGGACGCCGGGGAGGAAGCCGATGGCGTCGCCCAAGTCCTTGGCGACGCCGAGGAGGGCGACCTGCCTCTGGTTGTAGCCCATGGCGGCCTTGATCACCGGGGAGATGCTCCCGAACAAGTACCCGATGCCGGAGCAGGACTGGACCCACATTGAGGCCACGAACACCAGCCATCTGTCTCTCAAGATTGCGCTCCATCTCTCCCGCGCCGCCATTGGAGCTCTCTCTCTCTCTCTCTAGTCTCACAGCGAGCTGGAGAATTGAGGAAGAAGAGTACAAGTGGTTGGGAAATTGAAGGTTTGGTGGAGACTGGATAACATTTTCTTTTGTTGACATTTTGATGAAAATGAAATTGGAATGAAGAGAGTCTTTCAGTCCCCTGCTCCACCTGGCGGCATAGTGCATGCACCTCATACACATTTTTTTGTTCTTTAGCAAGAAAAAACAAAATGTAGGGTTATGCTAGGGGTACACTAAATGTACATCACCCCCTCTCTTTACCATTCATTATATTTTGTTTTTATTTTTTATTTTATTTTTTTTGAACTTTTTTTGTGGTGATGGAGGGGGTGGGGATGTTTGGGGTACACTTTTGATGTACTCCTAGCAATTTTCCAAAAATGTAATGTCTCTATTCCAATTTTAATCCGTCTCTTATTGTTTACGAGATTTGATTGAAATTATTTTTAAACCAATTTATTTAAAAATAATTGAAAAATAAAATATATATATTTAAAGAACATCATCAAAAGTTTCACAAAAAAACGCGACAAGATTATATTATATTCTCAAATGGGTAGCGAAAATAGATAAAAAAAAATATTGTTGAAATTTGACTATATGTAGATAATAAGTAATGAACTTAATTAGGACAGAGAAACTATATTTTATTCATGTTTGGGCCGGGGTGATTTATCCAATAATAAAGAACTCCAAATTGTACGTACATTACAAGTATGTACCAACACTTTTTTTTGTTGAACAAATGCTCATATTATTAAACAAAGTTCAGATACAAGTACATCACATTAATTAGTCACTCATCTGTATGCCTAAGCATAGCTATAAACTATAACAAATAGTTAGACTTGGGCTTAAAGTTAACAAAGGTATTAAGCTGATATCTAATAAAAGCACAGCAATCCTCAATTGATACTTCCTCATTTAGCTTCATCTTCTTGTTTCTTCCCCTCTCTTATCCTCTAGCAATCTTCTTGCCAATCCATAACATTGCTTTGCATGTTTTATATGTTCCACTATACCTTACATACGAAATGAAAATTAAAGCACCCTTTTCAATGTTTTCATATAAATGTTTGTCTTAAATAAAAAAATTTCTCACCTCCCATTTTAAAGATGTCCTTGAAAAATCTCATTCTTTTAAAGAAAAATTTAGTGATTTACATTCTTCTATTATTTTAAATATTCAATCGTATAATTTTATTTTAAAAAAATAATGATGTAAATTATTTTGACCGGTCGCATCATAAGATAATACTTTTTGTCAACAAATAGTCTTATAACATGATTTTTTTCCACGTATAATCAACTTAGCAAAAGTATTATTTTCATGATTTTATATACTCCGGGGAAAGAGGAAGAAAAGAAAACAAAAAGAGAGAGAAGAAAATAGAGAAGAAGAAAAAAAAGAAAGAAAGATGAAGGATAAAATACTCTAAAAATTATTCTTATCCAACATAGCTTCAGTTACTTTAAAAATTTCAGTTACTTTTTTAAAAATATATTAGCTTGATTTATTATATAACAAATTATATATCTAAAATAAGTTTATGACATGTGAAGAAAGTGTGAAAAACTACTAAAGTGATGAGACAAAAGTTACGAAGAAAAGCGATGCTGCATTAATTAAAAATAGGAAATGAGAAGAAAGTGGAAAAATCATAAGACTATTGGGTGTGGACGCCGATAGGAGCGGTGTGTTAGAGTGTCATCCCACATCGAAAGTTCAAGAGGAAAATAATCGGTATATAACTTCTTGAGTTGAACTAAGTAATCGATTGGATTCAATCTTTTAATGTGGTTCAGCCCAAGTGTCTTATTGCCCAATCCAGTTGTCCTTAATTACTCTATCCTAAAGTTATCACGGTGGTGCCCGATCAAGGAAGAAGCTAGCTATGCTTGCCAATGGACTTAGGCTGGTGAGTGTGGGTCACGCCATCACGTCATCCCACTTAGCTCCACTCAGTGTCACATTAGCTTTTCTTTTTCCCGTCACAACCCATCACAGCACACGAGTGTAGATCACGCGCATCATGCCCAATTTTTTTTTAAATTTCTTTAAATGATAATTAACTTAGAATAAAAAACTTTAAATAAATAGTCTGTAATTCATTAACATTAAAATTAAAATTACATTGATTTGATAAAAAAGACAAAATAAAAAATACAATTATAAAGGCGGAGTAAAATTATTCGTCATCCGGAAGTGAAGGAGCAAAGTTCCACAAATGCTCAACTAAATCCGCACGAGGTTGTGGTACGTATGCATGTTATGTAACATGAACCTATTGAGATCTTGTTGTGTTCTGCTACAACATTAACATTGTGATCGTTCGGGTCGTATTCGCATATCGCACGTCCTTCGTCTTCGATACTCACGTTATGTAAGGATGCAGCAAGTGTACAAAATGTGACGTAAATTTTTTGGCGTGAAAGCTCGCACGGGATTTTCCACAATGTCACTTCTGCTTGAGCACATCAAATACTAATACGGAGTATTTAAAAAAATTTATGTAATTGATTTGTAGTGCGAGATGAAGAACATCGAAGAATATTGATGTTATCTCTGTTCAGAGCTCTTCTTCTACGTGGTTCGGGCGACAATCATTTTCTTGTTCTTGCGTAAGAATCTGAACTGTCTTGGTCATGGTATTCATAAAGAGAATTTCTGCTTCATCAGAATCGGAGGACGTCCACATTGTGAGAAAAAAAAGAGAATGAAAATTTAGAAGAGTAGTAAAAGAGAAGAGTTGAAAGTGTGTGAAGGTGAGTGGAGAGGATGAATTTAAATAATAGAAAATAAAAAAAACTGAAATTAGCCGTTGCAACAGCTAGTTGGGAAAGGGGGAGTTGCCGTGATGATCGTGACGGGCATCACCACCATCACAGTCACGCCATAGGCTGACAGTGTTCCCAGCGTGATAGCCGTTGAGGTGGCGCCAGGTGATCATCACGGGACACCCACACCCTTTGGCCTTACAATCATCTCCACTTACTATCGTTAGAATACCGTGCGAGGAAAATTCTCAATGATATTATTTGTCTCTTAATCCCTCCTATTGAATACGGAGTATTTGATAAGAGTGATTAAGAGACTAAAAAGGGTATGCCTCTGCCCACATAGCTTAGCAAGTTGTAGAGCCAAATACTCCATACGTTACAGCAGCGTGTTTAGGAGGCCCTCTATTACCTCTATACAAACAGAGTGATTCAAGAATTGCAAAAACAGTTTCCAGATTGATAAGCTTCAAATACAGACCAACTTGTACTATACAAACAAAAAAAAGGACTACACAGAGGCATTTCAAAAGCACAACAAGTAATTGCAGAAGAAATCAGAAGCACATTGGCAATGTAATGCTTGCAGGCACGCACCGTTGGACAGAAATGTGCTCAAGAGAGCAACGACGTGTCAGGAGTTTATCATCTTCCAAATGTAGTTACAAGGTTCCAACTCAGACATCTCTTTTGGATCGAAGCAAAATCTGTCGAAGAACTTGTCTCCCTGAACAATATCTGTGCTGAGTGAAGGCCAATCTCAAACAAAAATAAATGGTGATCATTTCTACTTAATTACAAGGTAAGAAAGGGGAAAAGACACAAACTACTCATTGAGTTTTCAATAGAAAGGATACATCCGGATGTTTTTGATTGGTCATCCAAGCATGGGATTAGATTTGTTATTGAGGCAAACAATGATAACTTCATCCTGCAAAATCAGAGCAAAAAGGGTTACTAACAGGCATATGGACATTTGGCCAATCACACTTCTGGTCCTCTAATATAAGAATTCCTCTTACACGACTTCGTTTTTTTGTCACTTTCTGTCCTTGCAGCTAAATATACCACCGGAACCTACTGGATAGTGGATATGGTAACTGATTGGTAAGGGAAAACGAGGTTTAAGTTGTACAACGCCTATTTTTGGTCCAAAGCAGCTTTCTTCTACAATTCTTCCAAAATCCGCTTCGAAAACAAAAGTTATAGGATAATCTTGAAAGTGTTCAAATGCAGGTGATAGAAATAATTGATTCTTCAAGCACCTAGGAGTAGGGGTGCTCACAGTTACATAAGTCAACCGAATCGAACTGGAACCAAAATTTGGTATGTAGCAAACAGAAATTTTTGGTTAGATAATCGGTATATTATTTTCCAAAAATATTGGTATTCGATTCGGTACACTATTAATTTTTTTGGTAATTCGGTACATACTGAAAGTCAAAATGTGCGTTTATAGAGATTCATGGAGTTTATCTTGGTAATTAAAATTTATTTAATAGAATAATTACTGTGTTTATAAACATTAATGCTTTGGGTTACCCACTTCTCACTCAAGATTATAATGCATTATGCCTACAAAATTTCTGGTTACCTGTGCAACTCTCTTATGTCTTAACTTTGGTTTTGTTTGATTACCGGCGATTATAGTGGTGACTTGTAATCAAACTTGATTATTGACATGAATTAACATATAGGTATAATTTGAGCTCACATGGGACATGAGAAATACAAAGAACTGGGACTCAAGGTTGCAGCAACATAAATTGGAGGCTGCACTACATGACGGCTCTCTGGATGAGCTCCAGTCAATTCGATTCACCTTAGATGAACTGAATCCACAGCAATCGGCTGCATTCCTCCATCACTGCTTTTTTAGTTTTGTAATACAATGGCAAATCACATGGCTTCTTGAATGCCACTTGGGGGATTTGAAAAGAGATTGATGCAAAGGTGCTTTATATAAACGCATTTACACAAAATGCTTTTTTTTTTCAGCACCACAATGATGATGAACCAATTGAAGTGACATGTTTGGCCATCCAAAGCAATCAAGTGCTATAAAAATGATGAGTGGTGTAGATACAATTTTTTTTTTGCAAGCCCTAATAGTTAAGAAATATAAAATGATATAAAAACAAAAACAAAGTTGTGCACCGATGTGAGAATTATTATACTTGAAGACTTTAGAACTGTGAAATGTTTTATGTCAATAAACATTATTTGTGATATTTGCATGAAACTTTGAAAACCAAAAGAACTGTGAAGTTGGTTTGCAAAATGAAGTATGGCAC